TTTACGTCAGACTAACTTTGCTCTACACTCTGTCACCAACAAATGCTTTACGGTAAAATCACATTACAGTCAACTGTATAATAAAGGTTAGCTGAGACACATGGAAATCATTGTGGAGATCAGGGTTCTAAAGAAGGTAGATTTTTCTGTATAGTCTGCAGTGTGAGATGCTACTTTGACAATAGACAATTTAAAGAGAAGAAGATGCATGATTGTTAGCTACTGTAGTTTTTGAAGCATCACCAAGGCGATACTAATCATCTTCTATTATAAACAACTAAAGTAAAACGCGGGGAGGAAAAGAGGGGTGACTTTTTGAGGCTTTATATGACATAAAACATCGGGCATTTTGTTTATTGTGCTTAACATTTATTGCTATTTTTTGTTATGATATTGTGTGGCATAGTGTGTAGATAGGAGAACTGAAGAAGCTGGTTGAAGAGGGTAAAATCAAATATATAGGTCTGTCTGAGGCTTGTGCAGCAACAATTAGAAGGGCGCATGCAGTGCACCCAATAACAGCTGTTCAGTTGGAGTGGTCTTTGTGGACCAGAGATCTGGAGGAAGAAATAATCCCTACTTGCAGGTAATGTGTCTCTTAGATTTCATTCTTTCAGATAGTATGAAGGTTCTTCTGAATAAGGCCTTTTTCAGAGAATTAGGAATTGGAATTGTCCCATATAGTCCTCTTGGACGAGGATTCTTCTCAGCAGGTCCACAGTTGATTGAGAGCTTGGCTGACGGCGACTTTTGCAAGGTTGTTTCAGTTAATTTCTCTGTCTTTGATATCAAATAACCATCATTTGCATCTACTTTTGCCGTGTATCATAGTTATCATTTTGATTTAAATCAACATGTGCCATTCGCGTTTGGTCAAACTCTCCAAACAAGCTCAGATTTAATGTCAAGTTTGTGACTTTCCTCGCATTAAAGTTTATGAATGTCCATATTTAGATTCAATATTATAAGGTAGTGCTCGATCATATGCTTTACGTTCTTTTGATATGAGGTGATAATGCCTCCTATTCCGAATATAACATATTTCTAAATTATTGAAAAATACTGGAGATCAAAAGTTATAATTGGAAATATTAAAGAGTTCAAAAAAAAAAAAAAGAGGAGAAATTGTACAACTCCAACTAGTAAAAGAGTCTTTCCTTTTGGGATGTAAAGAGAACCATATATCGCACTTTTTATGCTTATAATTTTTTTTAAAAAATATTTAAACAAATCATTGAAATAAAAGCTGGTTGACTCTGTAGATAATATTGATGCCGTTCTTTTTGTTTGGGAGGGAGTAATATCTAGTCATGCACATGAGTGTATCGCTTGTGCCATTTTGCTCTTAGAGGATATTGTAGTTTGTTAAACTCATTTAGCTATGGATTCATTTTCAAGCTCCAACCAGTCAAGCAGGTGCTAGACCATGTTCCAAAGTTTACCAACATATCCTTTTTGCTCAAAATCTCTTCTGATATAGCATGTTATAATTAACGGACAAAACAGACGTAGAATATGGCTGATATACATTGCTTTCACCATTTGTTTTGCCAGAATATACCAAGGTTCAAGCCTGAAAATTTTGAGCACAACAAGCAAATATTCGAGCAACTCAAGAAAATAGCATCAAGAAAAGGATGCACCACATCACAACTTGCATTGGCTTGGGTACTTCACAAAGGAGATGACATATGCCCCATACCTGGTACCACTAAGATTGAGAACCTCAACGAAAATATTGAAGCCATATCTGTAAAACTAACAGCAGATGAGATAGCAGAGCTGGAGTCCTGTGCTGCTGCTGATATGGTCAAAGGTGAAAGGCATGCATTCATGTGGGCAACTTGGATAAATTCTGAGACTCCACCATTGTCCTCCTGGAAAGCTGAATAATAATGTTTGACGCGCAATGGTGGATGGAGCATAGTTCATTGAGTCCAATATAACCAAGTATTTGCACACAAAGTACAAATATATATATGTGAAAATTTACTAAAATTCAGCAAATATGAAATTCCGATGGCATAATTTAGAAGGGGAGCCTTGGAGCAACGGTCAAGTTGTCTCCGTGTGACGTATCGGTCATGGGTTCCAACCGTGGAATCAGTGTGTTCAATGTACTTTGCAAGAGACTGACTGAAAATTTCAAAGCTAAAGGTTTTTTTTTTTCTTGCAATTCTATTGTGTGCATATTCGAGTTGTCTTTGTATTTGTGATGAAAAAAGAAGGGAGAAGGAGAACATGGATATGGAACTTTTCATCCAAGTAGTGGAAGGTTTAACTACCCACGGTACTCAATAATACAACCCCACATATTCTCACAACAAATATTGTACCAGAAATATATAAAGGTCTTCTACATAAACTTGTGCAAGGAAGTTTAGTCAAAGACATATCAATTTAAGACCGAGTTTTAAGTTGCACAAGCTTAGTAAAATATGCATTGTATATTAAGAAGAAGCAAGAAAAAAAAAAGCATTGAAACAAATAAATCATTATATATGATTATGTGACACAACAACAACAGCAACATACTCGGTATAGGGCTGTAATGTGGGCCGGTCCTAAGTGGTCCCGGCCTTCGTGGGCTTTTTGTAGGAACCAGTCTGGGACCGGGACCACGAACTAATAGTCCCGGGCTAAGTGGGCCTAAGTGGGCCCAACAAATACTTTCTACAGTATTTTTTTTAAAAATTTTCTATCTAAGGCAATTCCTTGTAAATTATATTACAGAATTGTGACCTAAATTTTTTAATTCAAATTTAAACACAAAATAATTGTAAAGAGATATTCAAAGCAATGCGTTATAATTTTATTATAGCTTTAACAATACATGGCAATATCTTTCTTAGTCACCCCCTCCCTCTCCCCGCCGACCTCCAACATATTTAAAAGCTAACTCTTTGCCACAAGTTTTACACTTAGCCCTACTTTTTCTCTTAGTTGAGTAAAAAATGGCCAAACAACAGATGTTTTGCTTCATTTAGAAGGTTGTCTAGAAAAAGTAGGGGTAGTAACAGGAGGGTCAGACGGGGCATCATTGGGATTATTATTAGTTGAGTTAAATTCAGCAACATGACTAGTGGGTGTATCATCATCCGGTTGCATTTCATCAAAATCTATTTCTTCATCAATAGTTGGATTACCATAGAGAGCATTCATATATTCATGGTTTAATTGTTCACCGGCTCCAACATTATGCAAATATTGACTCTCAGTAAATTATAATAAAGTATTATCACTATCAAGAATACCAGTAGGTGTATGATGGGTATGGGGTTTAGGTAGGGGAGCCCGGGGAATTGGAGGAGGAATAGATTGGCCACTAGATTCACCACTCTTGGATTTTCCCTTATTTTTACTAAATAATTTTTTAACTAAAAATTCATCTTAATTAATCAAACAATACAAAGTAAATAAACACAAACAAAACTATAATATTAAAACTTAAGAGTTGGAACGAGTTTACAGAATTGACGAACAACCTGTTGAAAATTAATTATCGTTGAAGACTTGAATACTTCAATTCACCAACTTCACAATTTTTCACACAAATTGCAACAATAAAGTAAGCAATTATAGAAGAAAATTAGATAGAGATTGATCATTTTGTGAGAAAAATGAAAGAATGAAGGGGTATTTATAGTTGAAAATAGGGGAAAAATATAACTATAAAAAGTTAGGGGTTAAAACAAAGTTGGGGGGGGGGGGAGGGAGGGTTAAATGGCTATTTTATGAATAGCAAACGGCAATTTTTGCAGAATAACGACTATATTTAAATGCCCTAACGGCCATATCTTGGCAGATTTTTTTTTAATTTTAGCCGTTGGGCCCGGATAGGCCCGTTTAGGACAGCTTGAACCGGTCCACTTCCCAGCCGGTCCCGGTCTCGCGGGCCTCGCCTTAGGGACCAGCCCACTACCCAGCCCACCTCCCTACGGGCCCGATCCTATCCGGTTAGGACCGTTTAGGCTCACCGCCTATTTGGGCTTGCGGTTCTTGGCTGGGCCAAGTCCTAACCGGCCCACATGTCATCCTTAACCCAATATTATCCCACACCGCGGGGTTGGGGAGGGTAGTGTGTACGCAGACCTTACCCCTACCTTGTGAGGATAGAGAGGTTGTTTCCAATAGACCCTCGCCTCAGGAAAGCATAAGCACCACATTAATGAAAATATAGACAAGAAGGGACAGTACCAAAAAGCCATATAAAAGCAGAATAAAAATAACAAGACAGTAAGGTGATGAAAGAAAACAACGATTAGTCTGAAAACCCTACTACCAACAGAAAGCGAGAATGCGTGCCAATATTACTGTTATGAACACTCTAGACTACCTACTTTACTACCCTAATCCTCGACCTCCAACCTTCCCATCAAGGGTCATGTCCTCGGTCAACTGAAGTTGCGCCATGTCTTGCCTAATTACCTCTCCCACCTCTTTTCTGGCCTACCTCTACTTCTCCGTAGGCCCTCCAATATCAACTTGTAACACCTCCTCACCAGGGTGATATGATTATGTGACAATTAACAAAAAATTAATTTTTCTGTTTTTCTTCACTCCCGTATGCCTAAACGAGAGTGTGTTAACATTCTTTGCCACATTAACGTCCAAGAATATATAGCTATTAAACTATCAAGTTCAAGGTATAGTTAAGACTAAACAGTTCGGATATGCATCGAATAAACGGTTTCAAGTTTAGGATCTTGTAGTACTGTGCATATTATTTTGGGCATGAATTAAAGAAAAAGATGAATATTCTATTTGAAAGGAGCATTTTAATTCTCTCCTTGTTTACATATATTGGAAATTGTCATTAGTTTAATCACACAAAGTACCATTACTAACTCAAATACTCAAATATACTCCTTGAGGGGAAATTAACGGAAACAAAAAACTTCAGGAGCCTAATTGCAGCATCCCTCAAACTTTATGAACTTATAATGCAATTTGCTTACCTGTCAAAGTTTTTTCTGTTTATAAAGACCACACAACTTCTTCATTTTTAAGAGCTTAACTATTTTCAGACAGCCGGAGAAGATGGAGAAAACGACGCCGTTAAAAGTACCGAGAATTAAGCTAGGTTCACAAGGTCTAGAAGTTTCCAGAATCGGGCTGGGCTGTATGAGTATGTCCGGCAACTACGGCCCGCCCAAGCCCGTGCCCGAAATGATCAAACTACTCCATCACGCCATTGATAGTGGAGTCACTTTCCTCGATACTTCTGATATCTATGGACCTCTCACCAATGAAATCCTCATTGGCAAGGTGATTAAAACTTTTTTCATTTGAATATTGTAAATGCTGCATGAATTAGTTGTACTTTATGCATAATTAACTGTACGTTTTGTGTTGTTATAGATGTTATGGTATTTTAATTGTTCGCTAAGCAAAAATGACAGCTTTTCTCTTGATAATGGTGGTATATGGAAGCTTCTTTATATATACAGAAGCTGCATACATTAGTTTTGTACTTCCTCCTTACCTTGTTGTACCTTTGTGTTGCTGTAGTAGCAGTTATGGTATTTTAATTGTTCACTAAGCAAAAATGAAGTTTTACGGTAAATCTCTTAATTCTCAGGTTATATTGAGAGTGATCTTACGTTTTTCTTTTTTTCCTTTACTAAATTTTAAATGAAATTTATTCACTAATTCTCTCGAAAAAGTATGGAACTTTTGTGTTAAATCTATGAGGAAGATTGTGCATTCTGGATTTCTCTTTTAGACTTTAATTTAATATTAGCAGTTTTAGATTATTTGACCTTAGGGTATGTAAAAATATACTCTTTTTTTCTTTTATGACCATGGTGTTCGGGCCAACTTTGCGCACCTTGACTATTCCACCGAATACCAGCTAGTGTTTTTTGCCTCCACTGGGATTTTAACCTGATACCTCATGGTTGTTCTTCTTGTGCCTGCTTGAATACGTGTCCCCGTATGTCTATGCTTTATATATGCTGACAGAGTTTTATAGGTATGTTCATGTTAAAGTACCCAATTGTGTGTAGGCTATCAAAGAAATGAGAGAGAAAGTACAAATAGCTACCAAGTTTGGTATATGTTTCGAAGATGGGAAAAGGGGCATTTGTGGTGAACCTGCATATGTAAGGGCTTGTTGTGAGGCCAGCTTGAAGAGACTGGACATCGACTGCATTGACCTGTATTATGTTCATCGCATCGATACTCAGCTGCCAATTGAAGTCACGGTATCACATCTTTGCTCCAAAGTTTTGTTTTTGTAGTGTATTTCATCACTTTTAGCAAGTAGTCGTATTAAATGATTTGTACTACAAGGTGCTTGTTATTTTTATTATGGTTTTGGGCACAGAATGTCGTGGTTATTACTTGATCACTTCATCTAAAGGAGGAATCCAGAAAACGGTGCATTATTATATTTTTTTGGCTTGAGAAGATCTTATTGTTGTTAAAATACAGTCATGATGTGCATTGAGTTGATATGCTAGCCACATATTCATGAAGATTTTGGGATGCTACTGTGCCATTATTCATCCACTAGATATTTCAGGGGGACTTCTTAATAGAGTGACAGCAAGCATAAAATTGATGAAGGTGTTGAAAGGGATGAGGCAGACCAGACATCGAGAGGAAGGAAGTTGTATTGAACGGCTTACAATCTCTCGAAATCCATTTGGATTTGACAACTAATAGAACACAGTGGAAGTAAAAGATCCGTATAGACAATACCAACTAGTTAGGAGAAATGTTTGGTCATGGCACTTAAATTACTTATCACAAAATGTGGTACACTTACATTAGATGTAGGTTTTGTCAGGATTCTTTTATATTCGCTTAGATATTTGTATGTCACTGGAAAGTGCAGAGAACCCCTAATTTGTTTTAAAAAACAAAATTTAGAGTTTTGGAGTGAAATTGGTCCAAATGGAACAGAATTATTGACAATTCATGTGGCGCACTCCAACTAGTTTGAATTTAGGCATAACTGTTGTTTTTGTTATTCTTGTTTGTTTAATTGCAAAATGAAGGCTGGCCAAGGGAGTAAATGGGATCGGAGGAGCCAAAGCATGCTTCACCTTGACCAAAGAAAAGGCATAAGAATAAAGAAAGCAAAACCTCTATGCTGAACTTTCGGATGTGATGTAATCTGATTGACATGGGAAAGCATAGTAGATTGTTTAGTTGCTGTTTTGGAATCTTTTTGGAAGAACTCTCTCTGATGAAGGATTGTCATAAACTCATTATAGATCGCTGAATACCATGTCACCACTGGTATATGATTTGGTGTACTGTACCCCCCCCCCCCCTCCCCAAAAGAAGAAGGATGATTTATCAAGAACAGGTTGTTAGAACAAAGTAATTGGATGCTAGGGTAGAAGAAATATCTTATCTTATGGTGACCAACTCTGCCTGTAGAACTACTCAAGTTAGATAGCTCAAAGCTTGAGTTGCTTGACCTGCTTTAGCAACTAGTCCAAACACTTAAATGCCACATGGTCCTAAATATCTGATCTCAAAAGCGGCTACAACCTGGAAACGGTTATTCACTATAAAATTCTATTCTAGCAGAAGTCTCCTCTAAGACTTCCCTATGTACAAATGCGCTTAAAAATAGAGGGAACGTATGATGCACTAATGAAGAAACATTAGGACCATAGCGTCTTTACTCAATTGAGCGTTCTCCTTGCATCTATTTACTCTCTTTAGCACCCAAGTAGTCAACCATTAAGGTTAAATTGCATTTTGGTTTACGTTCAGTTATCACTCATCCGAGGAACGTCCTATGTACATTATTTTAAAAAACAGCTAAACTGGCTATCCAATAGTACTTATTAATCTAAAGACAGATTACAGGCCTTCTTGTTTTACTGCAAATAGATTACTAGTCCTTATTGCAAATTGACCTTGTACCATCTGTCAATTCACATCATGTAAATCGTATTTTATTGGGTCGTAATATAGAGTCAATATCTATGCAAGTTTCCATCCAAAAATACTAATATGGTTCGACTTGTAGCTTTGTCCATGTTTATGTGATTCTGTGCTATTCTTTCACCGTGGTTTCTCTTTGCTTCACGATTCTCTTCAGTTTGTGGTAAACTCTTTATCAAGTCATTTCTGAAATACTTATAACTGGAAATGAATTTCAAGACAACAGGTTGTCCCAACATTTGTGAAGTTCATACCTAGTTAAATAAGTGGTGTCATTTTATAAGATACTTTCTAGCAAGTAGGTTGTTGTTTTGGCATTCAGATCCTTTGATCTATGCATTATCTAGAGTTAATATTTACAATATTATCTATGATTTTGCACAACTAATCTGGATCGTGGCGTACTCTGATGCGGAATCCACATTATTGTTATACATATTTTTAACAAGTAACAGCAGATATTTGGAACATGTTCCTGTCAATTTTTGGTATAGCCTGGGACATGCCTAGCTCCATCAAAGATGCATATGAAAGTTGGTGCTCTTGGAAAGTTGGAAAACCCATCAAAAAGACATGGTTAATGGTGCCTGCCTCAATCTTTTGGTGTATTTGGAATGAACGAAACTGTAGGTGTTTTGATGGGATCTCAACTTCAAATCATGCTCTTAAAGCTAAATGTTTAGTGGATTTATTTAGCTGGCTTAACCAAACTCCTGTATCTAGCTGCGAACAACTTTTGGAAGATGTCTGCTCTCTGGTTATAGATTAATCTTTGTATCTGAGCAGTCAACTTTCCCCCTCTTGTAAATTTTTGTCTGCATCTTCTTGATGCCTTGAATGGAAACTTATTACTTCAAAAATTTATTTTTTTAACCAAATTGTACCATTTATGTTCTAATACTGCTTGCATACTGTTGTAAGATGGGAGAACTGAAGAAACTGGTTGAAGAGGGTAAAATTAAATATATAGGTCTATCAGAGGCTTGTGCATCAACAATCAGAAGGGCCCATGCTGTTCATCCAATAACAGCTGTTCAGATGGAATGGTCTTTGTGGACTAGAGATCTAGAGGAAGAAGTAGTCCCCACTTGCAGGTGACACATCTCTTAGGTCAATTCTCTTCCATGGAATTACTAGCAAATGAGACTATTCTAATACTGGTCATTTTCAGAGAACTTGGAATAGGGATCGTCCCTTATAGTCCTCTTGGACGAGGATTCTTCTCAGCAGGGGCAAAGCTGATTGAAAACTTATCTGAGGATGACTTTCGCAAGGTTAGCCTCATAAATTATTATCCTCAATATCATGTAACCAATTGGCTGGATTTGTGTTAATTGTCTCATAGATATTGCTATATTGTGTTTACAAATTTAAATAGCTAAGCATTTGTAACGAGCATCAACTTGATGATTTGAGTTGTATTTAATTTAGTACTCCTATCTTTTTATCTATTTTGTGCATTGATGTTTTACAGAGATTCTCAAAATGCTCTGTAAGGTAAAGCCTTTGGCATATCATGCCCATAAATTGCTTTTTCTGAATCAGAAAACCTAAGTTATGGTAATAAATCTGTCAAAATAAATTTCAACTTGCCCTTTCCTTGAACATCTCCTATCTAACACAATCTATCAAGATAAACATTTTGGCACACAACCACCTGTTCTTACTCCCTGAAATATGTAACCAATTTTAATGTTGCATCAATGGATTGTATCAGATCTATTTCAACTGCATTCTTAATTTGTTATTTTGGTCTTGTGTTTTGCTTTTAGAATTTCCCTAGGTTCAAGCCGGAAAATTTTGAGCTTAACAAGCAAGTATTTGAGAAACTGAATCTAATGGCTGCAAGAAAAGGATGCACCCCTTCACAACTTGCATTGGCTTGGGTTCTTCATCAAGGAGATGATGTATGCCCTATACCAGGCACTACCAAGATTGAGAACTTCAACGAAAACGTTGGAGCGTTATCCACAAGGTTGACTGCGGAAGACATGAAAGAGCTCGAGTCATATGCCTCCAGTGATGTTGTCAAAGGTGATAGACATGTGTACATGCCATCAACTTGGATAAATTCAGAGACTCCGCCACTATCCTCCTGGAAAGCTAAGTAGGGGTTTGACAGCTGATATCTATCGGGCTTCTATACATGTATGTATTTAATGGAGAAACGTCGGTTAGCGACGCCTTGATACTCATAAGCTAAATTGGGAAAGAAACTTGCTTATCTCGAATGTTTTACTATGAACTTGTAGTATGAGGCAACAGATATGTGGAGAGCTTATTCCATTTTCTGATTCCATGAATTGTTGCTCAATTGCTTGGATCAATCTGAGATCATAAGATATGGTATGTCACGGCGATGTACTTGTGCAGTATGTTAAACGATTATATGTTACTTTGTGTATGTATTTATAATGAAATATAAGCAGGAAAGTGAATCATCACTTCCAGTATTTCTCAGAACAATCAGACATACCTACTAACGTAGACTGCATTTTCAGCATCTACGTCCTACAAAGATATATTGCTTCTAAATCATTTGGTATCAGGCATTAGAGCCTAAATTGAAGGCATTGCGGCTAGCAAAACCTTTGGATCTACCATCAAGTCGGCTTTTATATTGGAAGTATCATCTTTAAATTCATCTAATTTTTCAGTGCTGCAAAAATTTTAAAATTTGTAGGTTGATGATTCAACCAGAAAAAGGGTTTTGTGCTTATATTCTTAATCGAATTTTGCACATAAAAGATGCAAGATGAAGGGATTCTAGAGATGAGAAAAACAAGCACCAAAAAAAAAGGAAAGAAAACTATGACAGTTTCTGCAATTATAGTACAGTGTAAGAAAGGCAGATGTTTATTGAGGGCATTAGGGGTGTACAAACGAATCGGAAAATCGCACTAAACCGAAAAGTCAAACCAAACCGATTAAAAATCCAAACTAGGTTTGGTTTGATTTGGTTTGGTATTGAGTAAAAAAACCCGAACCAAACCGACATATAAATATATAATTTTTATATACTTTTAAGATTTTATATAAAGTTTTCTTTAAAAATATCTATAATATTTGGAATTCTCTTGCGGGATATAATATTTGATAAAATATGAAGTGTTCCATATTTATTAGAGATTTTTACATTGTTGGGCTCTTAAATAATTGGTTATATGATCACTTTCTCATCAAGTGTTACTGAAATGCGTCAATCTCTTTGTTCGTCCATATTCATATCATATGTTAAGATCAATTAAATTCTTATATCTTTTTTGAATGTGAAGTGATTATTATTGTTATTTAGGTATTTATATTGGTTTCTATGTTTAATTACTATTTCGGTTAACCTTGAAAGTGTATATCAACGAAAAATTATTGTCAAACGAATAAAAAAATAACTATTATGTGTTACTAAGAAAATTCTCCCATAAAAATATTTTAATAGATAATATGTTTGTCAATTTTTTTATATTTTTACTAAACATATATTTACTTATAAAAAATTTAACAAAGTAAGATTGAAAATTCTAATATTGAATTAACAAAAAATCCGAAAAATCGAAAAAACCCGACAAAACCGAACCAATCCGAACCGATATAGTCGGGTTGGTTTGGTTTCGATAAAAACCAAACCAACCCGGTCCATGTACACCCCTGGAGGGCATCACGAATTCACAGTGGAAGACCATTTGATATTGCTGTTCCATCATCTGAAGCATACATAACAAAGAGGGCATGAGTCCATGTTCAGCAATCAAAACAACCTAAGCAAATCAATTGTAGTGAAACAATATTTTAGAGGGTAGAAAAGACAATACCATGTTGTTGTGACAAGCACATGCTAAGCTCCCAGAGATATCCCTGTCAACTCTGTATTGAACACAATATTGTTGCACATTAGACACACATTGATACTCAAAACAGCACATATGAGTTTGTTTCTACTTACTCTGATAATGAGGTCTATACGGCTACATCCTTCAATCACTTCGGCTTCTTCCTTAATTTTTACAGCTGAAGCCTCCAGAGATTCGTTGTCGCACCACATCACCTTAATCTGTTTCAGTGTCTGAATATATGCAATGCTGATGGGAATCTCCTCGAGCTTATCACAGCTTTTTATAACAAGTTTTTCAAGCTGAGGAAACGATTCATCTGAAGCATCCCACTTTGAGATACCTAAGTACCTCAGTTTCAAGAACTTAAGTTTATTGAACGTGATATCTCCGAGGCACCACTCTCCTGAATAATTATTCCAATCCGTTAATAGGAGATACTCCAGACTTGGTAGTCCCGCGATTAAGGAAGCTACACTTACTATATGACCCCCATAAAGTTCCAACTTCTCTAAATTTGAAGGCAAGTCTAAGTCAGATAAAATGATGCTACCAATAAAGCAAAGGCTAAGTGACTGAAGCTGGGAAAGACTCTCCAACTTGGGACTAGAAGTACAAATCTCTGTAGAATCATCTTCGTTAAAAATAACGATATTAACTTCTTGAAGATTAGGACACCTCTGTAATAACATATCCATGGAATCCACATCATCAATTGGAAAAATAACATGCCTTAATATCCTCAAATTTTCGAACTTACAGGATTCTTCATAGATTCGCTGCTTATTGTTCTTGAAATCGAAACTACCAGCAATGTCAACATGCCTTAACTTTTCCATTTTCCAAAAAATTCCTGGCAACAATACATAACCACACTCCACTATAATAGTTTCTAGATGGCGCAGATGTGATTCTGGATTGAAAACAAATTTAACTGTGTCAACTGCGAGGTACTTCAGGCAAATTATTGGATGTAATGTAGCTGTGGACAAAGCACGCACCCTATGAGAACTCAAATCCAAGACCTTAAGGAGTCCCAATTTACTAATCTGAGGGAAGGATTCCAGTCTAAAAGATTTCTTCCACAGGTAGTTATCAGTGACCTCAACTGTGGATGGAAAGGCTTCCCTATTTTGGACACCACCAATGCAATCTCAGAAAGCTCGTTAGTGAAATTGAAGCTTACTCGATTTTCCTTCCAATCGGAAGGTTGAAAGTGGCTATGATGTCCATTTACTGCCAGCATAAACTTTTCTTGTCTGCTCCTCTCCAAGCAAAAGTGAAGAACTAGATCGTGAACCTGACAGTATTTGACTTTGCCTTTATATCCTCTCCTTGAAACCATAACCACGTTGCTGCTAATGAGATCCATCAAGTAACCTTCAGCTGCCTCTTCTAATCTCCCAGATTCAGGATTTTGCACAAAGTTTTCTGCAATCCATAAACTTATCAGTCGAGACACTGGAATTCTCGCATCCTCTGGAAACATCCCCATGTATAGAAGGCAAGGTCTTAAATGATCAGGTAAAGTATCATAACTTAACTGCATTGTCGAAAGACTATATTCTTCAGACTCACCAAGATAGGAAAGTAGAGAATTCTTAACCTCATGCCACCAAGATTCTTCCATTTTCTTCTTTTTTATAATTCCAGCTACTAAGATAATCACTAGAGGCAGTCCTTTGCATCTTTTTGCAACTGCTAGGCTGACATTTTGTAGCTCATGAGGGATTTCCTTTTGAAACACTTTTTTCTGCAACAATTTCAGACTCTCGTCGGTTGTGAGGAATGGAAGAGAATAAGGATCAGTATGGTACTTGACTTGCTTACCTACTACCTCAAGTCGGGTTGTTACTATTATTCTACTTGTGTTTTCATCATTTGGGAAAGATAATCTTAGATCTTCCCATGCCTTGAACATCCCACATATCATCCAAGACAATCAGATATCTTCTGCCCATTAAGCTTTTCTTCAACATGTGAGCAACTTCGTCATCTTTATCTACCTGGTTCTTGGAAACTTGATTGTAGATCTCTCGTAACAACTCTATCCGGTTATATGTCTGGGAAATGCAACAGAATGCTAGACTATCAAAGTGAGAAACAATCATGTCATTATTATACACCTTTGTAGCAATAGTTGTTTTCCCTAGTCCCCCCATGCCTACAATTGGGATAATATCTAGCTCATTTGTCCCTTGAGTCATATATTTAATTACTATTTCTGCTGCTATCTCAAAACCCACTATCTCCTCATCATACACACGATAGCTATGTCGAGTTGGCAGATGTTTAGATGACTCTACCACAGAGCAGGGTCAAAGAGCAACGTTCTCCGACCACATCTTTGTCACCTCCGTACGAATATGCTTGATCTCTTTTATGATTGTAGGAAGTGAGCAAAAAAGATGCCAAAGAGCATTATATTGAGCAAGAATAGAGTCCATGGCTACTTCAGCTTCATATGCTAAATTGATAGTACGCCTCTGAAGATCTTTAAGAATTTCATGCTGATGCTGCACCTTCGCGACACCTCTGAAAATGGATGTTAGAGATGAGAGCTCTTTCTCTAAAATAACAATATGAGGCTTCAACATGAAATCTAAACCTGATTCAGATTTCAACATCTCATTCAATTTCCTTAAAAAATAATCCAGACAGCTCAATCCACCAACTGTGGTAAACTGAGATGGAATGAATTTTAAGGATTTCTTGTACCTCTCTACCACTTGTGCCTTTAAATCTTCAACCTTTCTTGACTGTAGAATTCGAAAGAAGCGTTTGACATAAGATCTCCAACCTTTTGTAAGATCTCATTTAACCATTAATAAAACGATTTGGCACATGAGCGAGAATAACCAACAAGAACACTATTGCCACATCAATGCTTTGAACGGAGACATTAGAAGGAAAATTCTTGAGCTTTTGGTCTCTGAGATACACTAGCAAACCGTAGAGATGATGTGAAAATCCTTTTGGTAATTTCTTGTCCTTGTAAGTTGTCGATCGAGTAAACTTTGAACCCTCAAGTTCACAAAGAAAAATCTTCTTCATTTCCAGCTCCACTAGCACTGCACAACCAGGCGGCTTACTCTCCATATCACTTATATCATTTCCATCCTCAATAACCCAAAGAGCAAGACAAAACTGTCACCCATGAATTGAATTCGCGTCTCCAGACCTTGCACCTTCTCATAGTCAATGTAGCCAATTATCTCTGTCTCATATAAGTATATCTCAGAAATCTCATTTTCTTTTGAACCAACATCAATTGCCTTTAATAATTTTCTGTCTTCCGAAGGATTTTGATTTCTTTGGTGAAAAAAGGATCAGACCTGACTAGGTACCGAGGTAATCCATATATTCCAGACAGATAGTAATCTTTCCTTGAACTGGTACTGCCTTCACTCAATTCCAGCAATTGTGAAACTAGCCTTTCCACATTAAGGTTAGTTTTGCATTCATCAAAAACTGATTGAAGCATTTCTAGAATCAGTTGGGCTTTTTTTGTGACTTTGACTAATGAATCAGGCAAAAGAACATGATGGTACTTTATAAAGGTTCTCAAAAATCAAAGAGGTTTTTTCCTATCTATACCATATATGAAACTATATTAT